TTAGGTTCTATTTGCTGCAGCTGACTGCTCTTGCTGAAAGGAAGAAGGATGTTTACCAAATTATGGGCTTCTTTGAGAAGGGCAACTAGGTCGTTGTGACACAAGTGAACGTTCGTGGATTGCAACCTCGGACTTTTACTCAGTGTCTCGCCATGCGTTTTCAAAATCCCCTTTTCTGCCTTCTGGGCTTCGATGATTCCTCCAGCATACGAGACAGCTCACTAGACATTAGATGCTGGCATGTAACACACAGTTTGACGTCAGTATGTCAACTCAGAATGCATTAATTGTCTGACTGCTCTGTTCTTCTAATGTCATGCACGGACTCTACCAGAGAGCCAAAGCAGAATTCTTATCGAAAGTCTTGTCTGCAGTTCTTGAAGGAAGGACCTGAACAATCCGTGAGCACAGTGCATCCCCATCTTACTGATCGCCTGTCGCTGGACAGCCGCAGAGTCACATGTGAGCCTTTCCATCCATCATTGAATCGAACTTTGAAGACTGCAACTCGAGCTTCGGTGATACTTTTGGAGCGGGCTTCGGATTTTCTATAGCCAGACTCGTTGCCCAAGACCTCTGCGGTTCATGACCAGAATTTTGGTGAACCTTATATAGCAAGATGATTCGACTGGATTGAATGGACCAAACAATCATTCGCTATTCTGAGAGCATGCTTCCGAGGCATCCGAGTTTGCTTTCTGCTGGGGTCTCGACGCTCAAATGTCCTTTTACTTCTGAGCGCTTGCTGTCGCATACGCCTTTGTTTCATTGTGAGTAAAATGAAAAGCCATGTGAAGGTGATTGTTTGGTTGGTTCTTGCGCACCCCTCACATAGTCGACCGCTAGTTTTGCAGCGTGCCCTCGCTTGACCAGCCAACCTTGTTTGAATTTTCGGAACTATTTTCTCAAGTACACCTTTCTATGCACGTTCTGAAAGCACGCTGCTGATCTTGCAGTGCGGGCGACTTCCTGAACCAGGTAGGCATCACAAGTGGGCGGCACCATCGACCGGCACCAAAAAGATTAGGGAGCTGTCTTCTCGTCTTCCTGCATGGCTGCAGCCGGGGCAGCCCCGCAGTCGCAACCTTGACGAGACGCAGACAATCATACTGAAGCTGCTGATTCTTGGCCTGGTTGTGCCCGCAGGTAAACTCTGCAAAGCACTAGTTGCCCTGATGTTGTGGCTTAGCATGGATGTTGATAAGGTAATAGATTTCTTAAGTCACTCGCAATCGCTGCCGTCAGCGCCTCTTGCTTGATGTGGCCCTCTGGTTGCTGTTCTCAAGATTGCCACCCCCACAATGCGCTGTCCTTGTAAAATGCGACGAGCAATTTCCACAATCGAGCCCGTGGCAACGCACTTTCTGTGAGGGAAAGGACGTGGCAGTAAGTCAAAGCAGAAGTTGGGCTGCTGTAGTTGGGCTGCTGATTGTTTGAAGAATAGAGCGTGCAATTTGAAAACGTTGAGTTGCCCCTCGTCCCTCGACCTGCAAGTCTGAATCATTGTTTTGCGAGCTTGC